CTTACTAATTTTTGTAATTCATAAGCGGATTTGCACTTTCTAAAATTAAAATGCAGTACCGCTAATAACTAATTATCTGCGCGTCTTCATCATCTTGAACAGCAGAAGGTATGGCGTATCATTTAAAACAGGGGCAGAACATCATCTGATCTGAGGTTCGGCTGAACTGCGTCTCCAGGGACCTCATGTATAAACGATGCGTAAACATTAAAAAGTTGTGTGCACCAGGTTCTACGCCCATGTTGGGATGGATTAAAACCAACGTTGCGTGAGAATGTGCGGCAGCCCAGCAAAATTTGTCAGTCGACAGTTTCAACCCACAAAGTCACAAATCTGACCTGAATCCACAGAAATATGACTCTGTTCTGTTTTCTGGATGTAAGGAGCGTTTGTGTTGCGAGTTCTTGCTGCGGTGTGGGACTGGGAACAGCTGACAGTTCATCCACACGCACTTTACGCAGCAAATATTGCGTCTTGTGGAGCAGAGGAATTAGATTTTTTTGTTTCATTTTTATTGTTTAAACTTGAATGATGATGAAACTGAACCCCGGGACTGAAAAYCATTTAACCTCAGACAAGAAGATAGATCAGCCTAAAAATGATCAAAGAACCTCAGTCCAGTCTGTAAACTGTAAAGTGTTTGTATTGTTGTCACGTAGTTGGAAACAAACGCAGAGTGCAGGCCTGTGGAGCGCACACACAGCTGAGGGAAATAAAATGTGTGAAATGTCTAAGAAACATTTTAAAAATTTCCTGCATCTAAAAATCAATTCTGATATCACAGAGGACAATCTGAGCAGAATCGTACACGCTGGGCACATTTACATCTATTTTTCGTTTTCAGTCACATATGCACCCAGAATGCAGCATTTCAAACMGTTTTAAAATTACTTTATTGATGCTTCTTTAATGAAAAATCTACAACAAACAAAAGAAAAAGACAAAGAAGCAGCCACAATCCTCAACAATTTTTAAAGTGTATCTTACCCCCTCCCCCCTGTGAAAAGATAACTCCGCCCCAAGGCGAAATTTGAAAAATGCATCAAAGTGGGTAGGGGAGGGGGTGTGGGTAGGGGAGG